ATGAAATATTTATTAATAATTTTATATAATAATTATAATATTCTTTTGTCCGGAATTTTTTTTCTATAAATATTGTGATATATATTTTTCTCAATTTTTATTCTTTTTCGTTAGATATAATTTTAATAATTCATGTATAAGCCATATGGGATATAGTGTGTACATTAAAGAAGCAATAAAAAAAAAAAAAAAAACATTAATCATAATAATTATATTACTTTAGTATTTTTAATATTTATTTATTCTTCATTTCAAATTTATAGTCGAGTTACATTTATTACAATATTTAATTTATTTGATTTTAGAATTTTAAAATTAAAAATATTAAAATAATATTTTTTAAATAGATGTATATTTTAATAGAAGCTATATCAATTAAATAAAAGGTAACTTTTGCTTGAATAATTCTAACTCAAAAAAAATATATAGATATATTATATATTATAATTTATTATATAAATTGATATTATTTCTTAAAATTTTATGTTATCTGTACAATTTTTATTAATGCATTATGAATTGATTAATTTTATAAAAGTAATGATTTATCAATATCGATGTATTTCACTTTATTCATTTATATCCATAGAAATGATTTTATTTAAATATTTATGTAACAGTCGCTTTGCATAACATAAAATTATATTTTTAAAAGGTATTAATAAATTATATGTAAAATATATTAATACATATTTTTATAATACTATGCCATGCAGAATCCTACGGCAAAGTTAAAAGATATATAACATTTGTATGTTCATTTTCATATATGATTTAAATGAATTAATCTTACTGGTTATATTACCTTATATAATAATAATTCGAAAATATATAAAAATCTAAAGCATAAGCAATAAGAGTAAAATTGTTCTTAATATAATGTGTATAATTAAAATTACATATTCAATCTTTATGATTAAGCTTTTTTCAAATTAGTAAGTTTATATGAGCTATGCAAATGAACAAAAAATGATATAGCGAATCAGTACACATATAAACATATATATAACATATACATATATTTCCATTTTTCACTTGACATTTATATAATATATATTGCTTCTTATATACTCAAGGATGCATTAATACTTAAGACGCTATGGTACATATATAGACAATTAAATGGCTGTAAAATATCTCCTTGGTTAATATAATTTTCATAATTAATGAATAATTTGTGTTTTCATATTGATGTTATCTTTTAAAAAAAAATTATTTCTTTGAACAAATTTATTTATACTAATATTTAAATATCTATTAATTAGATAAATAAATTATTAAATTTCATTTGGATTTATTAAAGTGTTATTATACAAGTAATTATATCAATATATGTACCTATTATATATGCTTAAATTATCTAAAATCTGTATTTTATATATTAAATAAATATTAGATTTATCTAGTCTATTATGTCTTATTACTTAATTTGAGTTAATCAGCATTGTTATTAATTAAAATAAATGAATATATTCTAATTATAACGTGGAATGTATAATAATTTATCTTGTGGGACCTTATACGTTGCTCTTAAAAAATTTATTTTGTCATATGATTATCATATGAATTTCTTTATAATGTACAGTATTTTTAGGATTTATTTCATTCCCAAAATTATATACAAATATATATTAATTATTGTCCACAACTAATAATTTTTATAATTTCTTATATATATTATTCAATGTCAATAAATTCAGATGTTTTTGTATCACTTTTTTTTAAGACTAATCTACTGAGTTATATAATATATTATATTTATTTTGAATTATATTTTTTTGTTCCTCTTCAAATAAATTCATTAATTCGTAATGTTTTTTATTTTTTCTATTACACATATTTTTTAACTTTTTTCTCCTTCTTCGTAAGCATAAACCATAAGCAGTATGCTGACAATTAAAAAATAATATGATATTTCCATGAAGAATGCATTAATTATATACTATATATTTATTATAAAATATATTATAAATATTTATCTGCGTAATTATTTAATTAATTAAATTTATTTTTAACATTATACACAATGAATATAATTAATAATACTGCAAAAAATAAAACACCCGTGCTTGTCCACGTCACTGGAGATGCAGTATCTCCTGATAATGCCTCTGCTTTTGTTATTTTTTTTGGTGGTATCATCAAGGTACAATTCAATAATTCATTTTCACATTTGTAAGTAATTTTTCCTTGCAAATATTCATGAAAATCTCGTTTGAATTTATCCAGTTCTTCATCAATTGTATTGTTAAACTGTTTTTTATCTTTTTTAATAATATCCTCATATTTGTTTACACATGATCTAACGTGACGTTGTGTATCATTTTTATTCCTTTTTAAATTTTTAAAATACTTATATAATTCATCAAACATTCTGAACATTTCATATATATGATCTTCCATTAATAATATATATTCTTTACATACATCAAGTCCCATTAAGCCTACGCCTTTGTATGCATTTATCAATTCTTCGTGAACCTTATCAAACTTCTCAAATTTAGGTTTTTTATTCTTTACTTCACGTTTTAGTTCATAGATAAAAAAATTACAATATGGTTTTCTATCATCTTCACTTTTATTTTTTATATAATATAAATAGAACCCAAGTTTGTAGCAAGTTGAATAAAAACTTAAACTCGGAGTAATTTTATAACTAAATTTTCCACTAAAATCATTGCACGCCTTCTGTATTTTAGGATATAAATCATTATAATTGAGTCCGGAAAAAAAAATATTATTATAAAGATCCTGACATGTGGGAAATATATCCTTAAAGGATAGCTAAAATTGAAATTTTTAGTGCATATAAATATTTATATTTGTAAGAAAAATATTTTTGTTTGATTTTTATAAATGTGAAAATTTTTAAATATAGAAATAGGAATTATGATTTTAATAAGATGTAGGAACTTACTTTTGCTTTAGCTACTTGTATTTTACCCATTTTATATTCTAAATAATAATAAATAAAAATATATTTATTAATATAAATTATAGAGTGCTAACAGTAGTAGAATTAATATTTTATATATATTATATGTATTAAACTTATTAATTTATAAATATAATAAAAGATTAAATTTTTCACTTTTATATAATATAATTATATAGTATAATTCGTTCTTATTCTGTATGTGGATTAGTGTTCATATTTATAATTCAGTAGTAAAATTTTAGGGATTCAGTATTATGTTTTATGATTTGTGTTATTTTTTTATCATGCATATTATTCATGATTTATATAATTATATGCAATGTCATGAAATATGTATATAAGGTTTCTATACCTGTACATATTGTAATTTATAATTATTTTATTTGGATTAACATAAAGAGTAAATGTATTATATAAATTTTCTTATTAATATATATAATATTAACAGACATATCATATTTATATTATTAGTTTTATATGTATAATTTTTGTAAATATTTTTATCATAAACATCATTTATTATAATATATAATATTTTTAATTTTTACATAATAAGATTGTACGAATGTTATTTATACACTTAAAATTAATTATTTTTATGTTTTATTATATGATTTTTCTCAGTTTATTCTCCACACTTCAGATTTATTATACAATTTCATTTAAACTTTTTCATTAAACTCACTTTTATGTCTCTTATTTTATTCGAAGAATATATTTTTTTAATTTTCTAAATAATGTACGTTTTCACTATTATTGCTCATATGTTTAGAGGAAAAAAATAATATGAATTATTTACATTTACATAATAATGCATATTTATTTATGCAAAAATATATTTATTTGTTTCTTAGTATAATTCTATTATATGGTTTAATATAAATTTATAAATACTTTTTCATAATTGTTCTAAAAAAAAAAATATCACTATTTATATATATTCCATTCATTATTTATTATTTTTATATATATAAATTCACTTTTTTCATAAAAGAAACGTTGATATACATTGTAAATACATACTGATTTATGGAAGGAAATGTTCCTTGAATATAATTATATAATTCAATTATTATTTATATGGATACAAAAAATATATGCAAAAATTTATTACTACAACAATGTGGATAATTTTACGTGGGGTATGTAATTATTTTTATATATAATTAGATTTAAAGCATAATTTATGCAGTAAAAAATTATTAAATTTATACTTGACATTTAAGCATTAAGAGAACTATAAACATTTTTTATCATTTAAATTTTAAAATAATGTTATATTACATATTTTTCATAAAATAAGTGTTTTGCTGTACACATATCTTTTTTTGTATATCCATGTACATTGGGGATATGTTGAATATATTATTATGTGTTGTTAAAAAACAACCTTTTAATTCATTAATATAACTTGAAATGAATACAACAAATAATATTCTATTAAAATAATATGTTTTTTTATAGATAAATTATAGTGTACATTTTTTTATAAAGGAAACATATATATATAAATTGAGTACAACTTTTTTTATCGTTTTTGTAAACAAAATTTTTGTCCCTCATATTTTATTTTTTATATAAAATAATTCAAAAATTTATAAATATCATGTATTTATTTTTTAATTACAGTAATATTTTGAATGTTATTAACGAGTAACTCTGATTTTATTGAATCAATATATGTTCTCAGACATGTATTATTGGGAAAATATGATATATGAAACGGACTATATACAAATGTATTAATATATAGTTTTTACTGGTTTGGATAGAGATAAATAAAAAATATATTTTCAACCTGTTCTCACATAATTATGAGAATCTACAGCATAATACATAAAATAAGCTTTTTTGTTATAGATACATAATATTGTATTTTAAAAAAATAAAAGGCAATTTTTTTAAAGATTTAACTTGTTCTATAAAAATATTTATTTCACATAATAAAAGTATTAGATAATCAAGAATAATATATAATATTAATAAAAATATAAAATTAATTATAAAGAATACTATTTTATGTTTTATTATATATATATTGAATACTTTCATTATTATAATAATATCTATATTTCTTTGGAATTAAGAATATATATTATTCATACTGCACTAAATACCCTTTTTATTTCATAAAATATAACCCACATGCTCATCATACATGATTAAGAACCTTTTTATAATTTTGTTCTATATAAATTACAGAGATATTTATTCTGTATTCAACGGTATACGTTTTAATAATAATAAATGTTGTAAATTATTAAAATATAAAAAAAAAGAAAAACAAAACAAAAAAAAATTTTTTTTTAAAATCGCGTAAATATATTTATAATCAATATTAATAAGGGTAATATAATTATTTATGACATTAAATATAAAAGCCCACATTTCCTTGATTTATCCGAATAGACAAGCCAAGAATCTACAGTTGAATCTTTAAATATATGCGTTTACGAAGCATTGTCTATATTTTGTAGGTTTTTATAATTTTCTATATTAAAATATGTTTCTGAAGATAATTTATTTCTTACGATAACATTTATAACATATACTTTTATTTGAATAAAACAATTTTAGAGTTTTATAATATTTGTCACGTTTATATGTGCACCATATTAACATGTGTTTAATGTATGGATATATATGTGTTTACAAAAACTTATATGAAAATCATTTATATATTTGTCAATACTAATGTATATATAGGTACTGAAATGATTATTCATTATTAGATATCAGTTTTTTTTTTTTCAATAATTTTTTTTTCACAGTAAATCGAAAATTTACTCTTTTGAAATTCATACAACTGTTGAATGTGTATAAATTAAAAGATATATACTTATTTATTCTTTTATAAACGAATAAAATAAACTAATTTGCGCGAACTTTTATTTAAATACCATATACCATATTTATTTTAAGAGGATAATATGCAATTATAGATCAGTATGTGAACTATCCTAAGAAAAATTTATAATTCATTTTATAGTATTAGCAAGGTTGTATAAATGTAGGTTATAATTTTTTATCATTGTATAAAGAGAAAATAATTCTAATTTTTATATTCTTATATTAAGATATTATTTATTTATTGTTCTTATCACATATATATATTATGAAAAGAAAGTATTAGCATTTTATTTTTTTAAGAATGTTTTTATAGACAATTTTAAAGTTATATATAAATTGTAATTCATTATATTATTTTTTTCATTTTTAATTATGAATAAATAAAAATCGAATTATAGAAGCATAAAATATTATGTTTTTCATATATTATAAACACTATTTTATCATTTTTATATGCATAATAATTATACATTTAATTACATATTAGAAAGTATATATGGTTTGCTTTTTATTTTATAAAACATTGATAAAAACTATGAGGGATTCAACAGAAGCATATTCAAATAAAAAAAAATGTACACATTAAACAAATGTAAAAGGAAAAAGGTAATAAACCTAGTATATTTAACAAAAATAAAAGCAAAAAACTCATTATATATTACAATATAGGTCTATCCCTGTACTAATGTGATTATATCTAGTAAAGATACAAATAATAATATAATAAGTGCTGCGCCAAAGAAACACTTAATACAATGAAATATAATAACAATTGTAAAAAAACATATGTAATTGAATAATTTTTTTATATTTATATTTAATAAGTATATACAAGATTTAAAATAATAAAATTACATAAAATAGCATGGTATATATAGAAATTAATTAAATATAGTGTATACAATATTAATTTCAATTTTCAATTAGCATTTGAATTTCTATATTGATATAAATATTTCAATAATAGATATTAAAAATATAGTGTTCCTTGTTTTAAAATAATCATATTCATGTAAAATACCATTCATTAAAACAGTAAAACAGTGAATATTATTGATATTACTTGCACTCCCTCTTTAGTGAATATAGGAATAATATTCTATATATTAACCACAAGTTACATTGAAATATTATTATTTTTTTTTTATTTATTATGTTTAGATATCAGGATGACTATTCTTCATTATATTTACTTAATATTATTTTTATGTATATTAAAAATATCCTTCGAATTATATATATAATAATAAAATTACACAGTGCGATATAACACATTATATCTACCATACCCTGGATCACTGCTATTTATTTCAGAAGATTCGATCATATTGTGTTTTTCACCTATGTTATTCAACTTCTCTTTTTTGTTACTTTTTATACAGTGAATGCTTGGATTATATACGGTAATATAATCAATAAAAAAAATACATTATATATTTAAAATATAATAATTTAATGTATTTTTTTTAAATAAATCATGAAAATAATATTACAATACAAATATTTGTGAAGAACAAATACATTATACAAAAAAATAAATAAAGATATGGTCATAACAAACATCACAACAATTCGAGATACAATGGAAACAAATATATCGTTCTTTTGAAATGGAGGAAACATTTTTGGTAATAGATTCTCACAAAATTCTCTATACATTAGTTTACTATATTTATCTCTAGTATTTTTTAATACATTATAAAAAATTTTGACATTGAATATTATTTCTAAAAACAATGCACAGAACATTTTATTTTTCATATATAATAATTTTATATTTTTTGTATTTAAACTTTTTTTTATATATTTTTCATATATTATGAAGTTAAGAA